TAAAATCGATAACTCCACTAGCAACATAAGTGGAGGTGGAGGTTCTATTATTTATATTAAAAACAGTTGCAATGCTTCATTAGTGAGCTCATTTTTAATAAGTTATAACAAAGAGGTTATTGATGATATGGAAATTAGCAGTTCTGATATCAAGAAGCAGCTTTTAAAGCTTAATGTTTTTAAGAGTTCTGGTCCGGATGGCGTTCATCCAAAGTTGTTGAAATCCTTAGCATACGATGAAAAGTTTGTTGAAGCTGTAACTAAATTATTTGTTAAGTGTTCAGAAACAGGAGTCCTGCCTGACATTTGGAAGACAGCATCTGTTGTAGCATTGTTCAAAAAGGGTGTTAAATCTGATCCCTTAAATTATAGACCTGTCTCATTAACTTGTATTTTGTGCAAAGTGTATGAAAAGTTGTTGAGGGCACATTTATTAACATTTTTAGAAGAACGAATTTCAAAACATCAGCATGGATTTGTGAAGGGTAAATCTTGTCTATCTAATCTCTTAGAGACATTTGATAATATTCTTGATATTTTAGACGAAGGTGCTCCTGTCGATCTTTTGTATTTTGATTTTAGTAAAGCTTTTGACACAGTCCCCCACTTTAGACTTCTATCTAAATTGGAGGGGTTTGGGGTCAAGGGAAAAGTTTTAGATGTTATAAAAGACTTTCTGACAGACAGAACCATGAGGGTTTGTGTAGAAGGACAATGGTCTGAGGTGAAACACGTGTTATCTGGTGTTCCCCAGGGGTCAGTATTGGGTCCTTTGCTATTTATTCTTTATATAAACGATTTACCTGACAATGTTAAAAATAAGATTAAATTATTTGCAGATGATCTCAAGTTAGTTTGTAATGCAGCTAACCATAGAAGTGTATCTGATGATACTTTAGAACTCGAAATTTGGGAGAGTATTTGGCACTTAAACTTCAATCCTGCCAAGTGTAAAGTAGTCCATATTAATTTGAATAATAATCCTAACTCGAATTATATTGTAAATGGAGTAGAACTAGAAGTATCTGCACAGGAAAAAGATTTGGGGGTTATTACCCATAGCTCCTTGCTTTGGAATGAACAGATAAAAGCATGTATTTCTAAAGCAAATCGTATGATCTGCTGGATTGTAAGGAACTTAGTTATTAGAGAAAAGGTTGTAATGATAGCTATTTATAAAGCTTTGATAAGACCTCATCTTGAGTATTGTGTCCAATTGTGGAATCCAGTTGCGGCTCATGGAAGTTGGGGGACTGTTTTGGAGCTGGAGAGCGTCCAGAGGCGGTTTACCCGTCTTATTGATGAGGTGGGTACTCTTCCATACAGCTGCAGACTGGATATCCTCAATTTGACAACGCTGGCAGAGCGGCGAATACGTGGGGACCTTATCGAAGCTTTTAAAGTAACTAGTGGTTTGACTGAATATGGATCGGGTTTGTTCAGAATGAGCAGATCTGGTCTTAATCTAGTTTCAACCAATAGGTGTAATAAGAGTGTAACTAAAGTTAAGAATCTCCAGTCTTCTTTTCTTCCGGAGCGAGTCATTCCTTACTGGAACAAACTCCCTTCAGATGTCAAGAACTGCTCGACAGTTTTAAGCTTTAAAGTTAGATTGGAAGGATTTAAGAAAGAAATGATTTCTAAAAACAGTGTAAATGATTTTTATTTTTGGAATGTTTCGAATGAAGTTTTAGGGAAAATTGAAGGACCCAGTTATTTAAGCAATAAGGAGACACATAATGAATATCTTTGGTTTCATCCTTTTGTGGCAAAGAAGCGTTTCATAAATCTTTATTCCACTGGGAAGTATTAATGAATTATTTATAGATAATGTATTAGATTTTATTAATTAATAAAATTGAATTTGATAAATTATTAATGTTGATGGAAAAATATATTTATTTAAATTATTTTTTTATTTAGTGCAATGATATTTTGTAGACACTTGTGATGATGTTATGTCATAATCTTTACTTACTTATACTTACTTACTTACTAATCATGGTTAAGTACGCTGATGGGAGCTTTGCCTATGGGAGCTTCATCCATCTTCTCCAATGCAATGGTGGAATAGACTATTTGAAAATTGGTCCTTGGTATGTCTATCGTACCAATGCTGAGAAGACAATTTTGTTAGTCAAGAATGCTGAAGACCTTTTTAATGGGAGCAGTCCTGAGTGAGTGTCACGAGATACTTAGGTTTCATAAATAGTGTAAGAAAATGGCTGGCATAGAAATTGTATCGACTGCTACTATAAATTATGATAATGCGCATATGATTGATGAGTATACGGGTTACTTCATAATTAGCAAACAAGAACAAAGAACTACAGAAAAGACGAACCGAGGTCCGAGAATACAAAATACTCATCCCTCCAGTTATAAATGAGTATTGCCAAATAATACAATACAGCGCTCGATTTATACAGTCTATAATATGCGCGCGGCGCGATTTCAATATAACATAGGCGAAATTCAACATTTTAAATTATTAAATAAAATATACACAGTTACAATTTTGTCTGTTAAATGAAATGCATTTACGACATTAAGTCAAACGATGATCAACTAACTACAAATTTAAAAATTCAAATTATAAACGTAAATATATATATTTGTAATTTTAAAAAAACTTGCCAAATATTTTGTTGTGCCGCGCGGTGCTGCACTTGGTCAGAATTATAAAAAATATTAAATTACATTCAGTAAGCGATATTTTGACCAATTTGTGTTTAAGGATTTTTAATTTTGGCTCAAAAAAAATTTGGTGACCGTGTTTTGAATTCCTTCACCATTTTTAAGCACTTGATGTTAAGTATAACAGGAGGAATGGCATTTGAGGCTTCACAATTACAAAACACAAAGCTAGGTACTTACTAACTGTGATGTTGGATGTGATGTCATTTGTCAGATGCAGACTGCAAAAAGGTCGGAAGTGTTTAATGGTGAATGAACTGCATGTTGTACTTGTTGTGATGTGAATTTATGGAAGGTGGACATCTGCATCAAATATGACAGGCTCATCGATGCACAGAAGTTTCACACAACCTCATCCCTGCCCCTATAATGGAGTAGAGCCTATTGTGTTTTGAAACTTGTGTGTACTATATATTTAATTGTTAAAGTTTAAAAATATTGGTAGCAATGTATTGTGCTCTGCCAAATGCAATACTTAATTTGATTGTGCTCTGCCACTTGCATCACTTGATTTAATTGAATGTACACATTGTTTGAATGACCTTTTACTATATTTCAATTTTATTTTTAGTTTTTAGTTGACCATTTTATAACATAATTTTATATAAGTTATGAAGGGTTTTGTTTTCTACTCTAGTTTTAAAATTTATAACGTTTCTATTTATTTATTTGTTGACATAAGTTTACTTTCAGGTGTCCAAACTTATAGTTAGACAATTACGATTGCTGAATTTATTTATGTATGTTGTTCGAATTATAAAAATAAAAATATATATATATTTATTTTGGGCACTGGTTCGTGAACCTCTCAAAATTTCGACAATGGCCCTTAATTTGTTGGCCAAATGGCTACCGTGAAATCAAGTTCCACAATAAATTTAGGCTGAACCTGCCTGCTTAAACCATTCATAAATCTACAGAGAAGAAAGATTTCTATGAAGAGAGGTATTTCATCCTGAGAAAGAATTCTTTTTCCTACTAGCCTTCAATCTTCATAACATCTGGATTCTGGAGGTGTGGAATTGCTGTGCGTCATATTTTAATCACCAGAAGAAAGAAATGTTAAGTCAGGACACAAATCACATCAAAACATCATTCGGGTTCGACCTGCTACGTAGCACATTATTGCATGTCACCTACATTTGTACAAGCAAATTTGTCAGATATTTTACTGTAAATGTTATACAATTTGCTGAGGGGATCCACAGTTCAAGCAGGAAGTTGATTCATTGTTTCCATGAGCCACTATGTTTTGTTCTACTTGCTGTCTCTGCTATATTATTACTCTTCCCGTCTATTGGCCTTGATTTAGCCATTTTGTATCTCACTCATGTTATGTAAGTTCTAAAAAGCGTCATTGTGCCATGTGATTTGTTGCAATGTACTGCAAAGAAGAGATGAAATTGAAACCTTGACATCTAGTTTTATTAAGTCGTTTCATTATTTTGATATGGATTGTGTACATTCACTTAAAAAAATTCACTGAATAAAAATGTCACTAATTTTTTGTATTCTTTGACCTCCAATAAACCTTATCTTTTGCAAAATGTGGTAAAAAGCAGCTTATTCTATAAAAAAAAAACCATGGTATTTTGTTTATAGCATGGTCCAGAATAACGATACATATTACACATTGGATGGATGACATGTCATTGAGTGAAACGAGTTTTTAAATCACTTCGACTATTGTAGAAGAATCTTTTTCATTACACCCCCTTAATTTTATGGAATATTAAATATATTTTGAAGTTTAAAAACCTACCCAACTTATACCTTTCACTATTACAATAAGAATGGACCTATTCTAGAATACTTCTCTATTGTAGAAGTATATTTTTTTATTAATTTTATAGAGTATTAAATATATTTTGATGTTTAAAAACCTACCCAACTTATACCTTTCTCTATTACAATAAGAATGGACTTATTCTAGAATACTTCTCTATTGTAGAAGTATATTTTTTATTAATTTTATAGAATATTAAATATATCTTGATGTTTAAAAACCTACCCAACTTATACCTTTCTCTATTACAATAAGAATGGACTTATTCTAGAATACTTCTCTATTGTAGAAGTATATTTTTTATTAATTTTATAGAATATTAAATATATCTTGATGTTTAAAACCTACCCAACTTATACCTTTCACTATTACAATAAGAATGGACTTATTCTAGAATACTTCTCTATTGTAGAAGTATATTTTTTATTAATTTTATAGAATATTAAATATATCTTGATGTTTAAAACCTACCCAACTTATACATTTCTCTATTACAATAAGAATGGACTTATTCTAGAATGACAAAAGCTCGTAGACTGCGGTTGTATGGCCCTAAATCTCGCCTGGAGAGGTTTCTAACGTGGAAGAAAGGCCCACTTACCACAGAGCGCATAGCAATATTCCTCATCATCGCCCTCTGTTACATCAATGCTCAGATGATACTTGCTATTTACAATGAGAACAACTACATCGAGCAGGAAGAGAACCTGCCTCATATAGGTAAAGTTTAATTATTCAAAGAATTTGAATTCTCAGTGCAAGTACGATTTTCCTTTTCAGAGAAATTCAAAAACATCTTATTCCTAAGAATATTTAACTTAAAAAGCAAATATGTTCCCTTAAAATAAATAATTCAATTTTTTTGGAGCAGTGAAATTATCTTTGAAACAGAGCATTTTCATATGATAGCATTTTCATATTGTGTAATTTAGTTGACGTAAACTTACTCTTCAGATCTAGGATTTGATGTGAACCCCATAGCACAACATGAAGCTGACCAGCAAGCAGGTAAAGTAAACAGCGCACAAGAAGCTGCAGGTCCACCTGTACTGAGTGAGGAACTAGCTACTCACGTGGAGGGGGATGTAGTGATTACAGATCTCTGCCCTACTCTGGTTCAGTGCCCTGACAATCATGTTCACATCTACGCTGAGTCTGGTCCTAGGAAAGCTAAAGTTTGCTTGAATGGAAAAGAGGTATGCCTACAGTTTATGGCATGTTTTAAATAGATTTTAGTATAGATTACGTATAAGCTCTATGATCATTAAAATTTAAATGAAAAGTTCTGCTTTTCTGTACTCCATAAAGCAACTTCATTGATAAAATGTCACCTGAAAACACACCCTGAATCAGGTGCTGCCTGCTTGGAAGACAGGTAGAGGAATAAACCTGGTCGTGATAAACTCAGAGCGTGGTACTGCTGGCAGTGTGCATAGCTTCGACACTTATCAGAACCCTGGTATGTATTTTAGAATTTATACTTTTTTAGAGGTATGCCTAAAGTTTATGGCATGTTTTTAAATACATTTTAGTATCTATCTATAGATAAGCTCTATGTTCTGCTTTTCTGTACTCCTGGTATGTATTGAATTATAAAATACACTAAGAAGAAAGAATACATTGTATTCCTTGTTCATAGTGTATTTTAGAATTTATACTTTATTTTTAGTTTTCTATAACTTTCTAGATAATATTAGGATGTCAGTAGGACGTGAATATATACCAATAATATCTTGTCATTTTCAATGTTTGTACAGTACATATTGTATAATCTACACGAAGGAAGCTTCTCCTCACTCCTAAGTTGAACCGTTAGTCACAAGACATTTATACATACACTAGACAGGACAGTCAGATCAGTAAATGTTGTATAATTAGTCCTTGTAATACACAGCCAATTAGTCTTACACTAACGGAAGAGATTGGCTCCCCACTTAAGGGGGCATACACCAAAACAGTGGTTTGTGCCGTCCAGACCAAATGACCTCATAGGCAGTTCAGTGACCTTCTAGCGCACCGTTTCCACACCAAAAAAAAATATTTTGAGGATACCCATTTTTGTAATCGAGCATTTCCTGGTTAGAGTGGAATTTTCGGAAAAACACAATTTGTTTCGTGGAGAGGCTATAAGTTAATCATTTCTTGCGGTATCGGGTTGAAATTTTGCTCGCCGTCTATTCACATCTATTTCAAAGTGTGTGTAAAATCTTGATATCGTATCTAAAAAGGCTGGTGTGTTATAAATTTTTAAAGTTAACAAAAGTCAAAAAGTTGAAATTGTCCTTTTCAGACTTATTTTAACCAAAAAGTCAGTCAGGGAAGATCGGATTGATTTGATGGTTGACATAAACTTGTTCTCTGAATTCTGGCGCAGTTTTTGATGCCCTCTAAAATGTTTTTCCTCGTTTGTGTTCAGATCTATTAGACTTCAAAGCCAAACAACAAATTTGGGCACATTTTTCGTTTTAAATATTTACTAATTTTTCTAAAATTTTGATAGGAATGTGCTAGTGACTTTTGGAAGGGTGCAAAATAACTGCAACTAGCACATTTATATATGAGTTATGAACAACAAAACACCCTAAAATGCTTCCCTTTGAAGTTATTGGAGAAAATGTGATTTTTTATCTGCAAAGCCAAAAAATCACATTTTCTCCCATAACTTTAAAGGGAAGCATTTTAGGGTGTTTTGTTGTTCATACCTCATATATAAATGTGCTAGTTGCGGTTATTTTGCACCCTTCACAAAGTCACTAGCACATTCCTATCAAAACTTTAGAAAAATCAGTAAATATTTAAAATGAAATATGTGCCTAAATTTGTTGTTTGGCTTTGAAGTCCAATAGATCTGAACACAAATGAGGAGAAACATTTTAGAGGGCATCAAAAACTGCGCCAGAATTCAGAGAACAAGTTTATGTCAACCATCAAATCAATCCGATCTTCCCTGACTGACTTTTTGGTTAAAATAAGTCTGAAAAGGACAATTTCAACTTTTTGACTTTTGTTAACTTTAAAAATTTATAACACACCAGCCTTTTTAGATACGATATCAAGATTTTACACACACCTTGAAATAGATGTGAATAGACGGCGAGCAAAATTTCAACCCGATACCGCAAGAAATGATTAACTTATAGCCTCTCCACGAAACAAATTGTGTTTTTCCGAAAATTCCACTCTAACCAGGAAATGCTCGATTACAAAAATGGGTATCCTCAAAATATTTTTTTTTGGTGTGGAAACGGTGCGCTAGAAGGTCACTGAACTGCCTATGAGGTCATTTGGTCTGGACAGATTTGGTGTATGCCCCCTTAAGTTACTTAATCGGTGTAGCAGGTTAATTTCCAATACTCTGTGATCATTCCCCCAGTAACTAACCAATACACAGTTTATTTGGCTGTGTCAGTACACAACCATCATAATTATATGTATAGTCTGCTATTTTGTCATTATCATTATCATTATAGGTGGGCGTGACTAAGAAACTTGATATAAAGCAATGTCAAGCAATCTTAGAAACGTTCTAGAATTAACAGTTGGAATGAAGGTTCCTTATTGTCAATACATTCAGCCAATAACAATCCATAATATACTACTAATAATAATGTACTATGTTCCAAGTGTCATATGAGGCGTGTTTCATAATGTATTTCGATTTTCGTGTATCGTGTATACTATACACTGCATATAGTTCCGGAAGGGAAATGTGCAGATTGTACAGTGTACCTATAAAAATCAACTGTCGATTTCCATGTTTGCCGGAACTGTCTAATATTTCACAAAAATTTCAGGGACGGACATGGTGGATATCCTAAAGAATCTGAACGACGACCGTTTTGTAGTGATGGTAGCACAAGACGAAGCGAGTACAGCACTGAATAACGAAGCTAAACAAACAATAGAGCAACTCGGCAGTACCCTGATTTACGACCTAGGCTGGAGATACAGCTGGGTCTTTATTGGACAGGTTGGAATAACCTCAATATCACCCTACGAGGCGATGAAGTCTTCACTTGACACTTCCTCCTGGCCTGACCCTGTTGCTATATCCCAGTGTATTCCCAACAAGATAGATGATGATGAAGTGCTGGCAGCCTCTCATAAAGAGTTCTGTGCTACATATGATAACTACGGAGAGTTTTGTAAGAAGACATGGGCAATACCTGACCCTGTGGTTAACACAGGGGGACACTTCGTTACTAGCACCTTCCCTATCGCTATTATAGCCGGGGATAGGGGATCTTATCTCCGACAAGTTTTATCTGGTTTCTTCAAAGCACCCGGGTTTGTGGCTGAGAACGTGGTAGTGTTTCAGGATGGTTACGATCTGGAGACGTTCGCTGTTGCCAGACAGTTTGGAATAAGACTGGTGAGGTTCCCTAAAACTGATTCTAAAAATCACAAAGAAGACACATTCAATCAAGCTGACCATATCGCTACAAACTACAAGCGCTCACTCGACGTCCTCTGGGCAATGCATCCTGATAAAGAGTTTGTTTTTATCATGGAAGATGATCTGATCGTTAGTCCTGACTTCTTCGATTATTTCAGCCAGTTAGTTCCAGTTTTGCGTTCAGATAAAACTCTGTTCAGTGCAAGTGCTTGGAATGATAACGGTTATGGACACTCCGCTAAGGACTCCACGATGATTTATCGCACAGATTTCTTCCCTGGGCTTGGCTGGTTACTATCCAGGAAGTTCTGGCTGGAAGTCGTTGAACCTTCCTGGCCGGCATGTTGTCAAGGATACAGCTGGGATCTATTCATGAGGGATGTGTTAAAAGGGCGTGGTCTAGATACGCTCTACCCGGATGTTTCTAGAACTTATCACATTGGTAAAACTGGAGCGAACGTCTACAACCAGTTCTTCAATGGTTATTTTAGAGAACATGTGCTAGCAAAGGATTCGCATTATCAGCTGCAAGGTTTAGATAAGCTAGGTCCTAAAACCTACAGTGAGCTTTTATCCGACCTTATATCACGGGCTAAACCGGTCGATCACACTGAAAATCCTTGTGATCAACATTTTATAACTGAAGGAGAGGACTTACTAGTTCTCTACTACTATCAGAGAGATTCCAGAGAAACTAAGCAAGCACTGGCTATTGCTGGGTGTCTTAATTTGTGGAATGTAGACAAGGTTCGAGGAATGTTTAATGGGGTTTTGAGGACCCATTTTAGAGGGAATAGACTATTGATTGTCGGCAGTATGACTAAGTATGGTAAACAGTTTATGCCGAAAGAAATTCCGCCAATACGGATTGCTAAATATAAAGATGAAATAGATAATGGCCTATAGGTAATAGGTATTTGCTAATTTTAGAATTTATTATTTGTAAGTTTGAGTTATTTTGTGTTTACGTTTTAAAGTATTTTATTGTATTAATGTCTGACATTTTGAATTTCTTTGACCGCTTTGACAATTTTGTTACAATTTCCGTAGTATTTAAGATGTATAAAATATTACGATTAACAAAGAAATTTCATAATATATAATTCAGAATTTCATACTCTGTGAAGATTGGCTTTTATTTTCCCTTCACTGATCTCCTGTACCAACTCTGTTAATCAACTAACTCATTTCATTTTCAATAATGATGTTTCTCGATTGCCAATTCTTCAATTTAGACTTTAACTTCATCCTTGTGTAAATTTAATGATTATTAATGATAATGTGGGTCCCAGGTTACTTAATAAACATGGGTAACTATAAGAATCTAGCTGCAATGTACCCAGATTCCTATAACTACTTCGTTGTGTTGTGAAGGTGACGCCCTTCTACATTTTACAAGTGTTTGACAAGATGTTTTGTACTTTTTTTAAATTGGCACTCAACAAAACAAATATGATACTCGTTATATACATTGAACATCTGACCACTTTGAACGAGAATTATTATAATAAAAAAGATAAAAATAACCTACCTCACAGAGCTCACTGTTGTAGCCTCACCGCAAGGAGGGTTAGCTCAGTATTTTTTTAAATGTAGAGCTGCTTGTCACTTAGGTCCAGGATCATTATAGTATATATAGAGCCGGACTTCTAGGCAAGGTGTTTGGTTGTGGGACACAGTCAACTAAGTAAGGTTGAGAGACCTGAAAACTCCCTAGAGAGATATCCACTGTCTGTAGCTCAGTAACTGTCTTGATAACTGGTGTGTAGTTAGACCTTGTAATATACAGGTACTTAGTCGTACTGCACGTGGCGTATGTTCAGTGTATTATGTACATAATGAGCAATTAATTAATCATTATGTTATTATGGCAGTGATGTTCCGGAAATCATCAGCTAATTTGCACTGTCTAGAGTCTGCACACACAAACTTACTAACTACAAATGTTGTGGAGAGTTGGGTGTTGGCCTGTAAAGTATACACAATCCACATGTTACATGTACAGTGTACAGTGTACAGTGTACAGTGTACAGTGTACAGTGTACAGTGTACAGTTTACAGTGTACAGTTTAAAGTGTACAGTGTACAGTGTATACTCCTCTCTTACCATGACAGGGTGTTGCTTGAAACTAAGAAGTGCAATTACATATCATAGTGTCCTGATTGAGTGTCAGTAGTTTGACAGAATTTGACTGCATCCTTATGAACTGCCTATATAATATGCAATATGCAGAGTGAATAATCTGTATTGTTTTAGTGTTTATTTCGTATACATACTGTATAACGTGATGTAAAATGCACCGAAGTGCAGTGTAACGTATGTTTTGTTTATAAGGCATAAACAAACATGTTGCACTGCGTTCTATATACAGTAAAATCCCGATTTACGGCAAACCCCGATTTACCGCAAACCCCGATTTACCGCAAACCCCGATTTACCGCGACCATCTTATTTCCCCCAAATAGGGCATTATAGATAACATGCATAATGTAAACAAACAAAACCCCGATTCACCGCGGATGTTTCCTTTCCCCCAAACTCCGCGGTAAATCGGGGTTTTACTGTATTGAATTCAAATTAGAAATTATAGAACTTCTGGTTGTAAGCAGTTTCCGAGATGCTCGAACAGGCGGTGTGGCTATTCCATGTGGAATTTCAGTTACATTCCTCATCAAATGTCACCCTTGATGTTTCACTTAAAAGTGATTTAGGCTAAACAATCCCTCCTCATTTCGCGTCGTGCTTATTTTGATAATATTTGATCACGCCGAATGCTTTTGTACTACATAATCTCGCGCGCGATGATCATTCAAGTAAGCTAAGCTAGCTAGCTAAGTAGCGCGCGCAGCTATTAGCTAGCTAGCTAGCGCGCAAGAAAACGTATTTGAGCCATAAATATGGCGGAATTTTCCAAAACCCACCACTTTATCCTAGTCATAATATTCCCGAGTAAGGTACATATAATACTGATGAATCCTAAAAGCACGAATAGGACTGAATAGGACGAAACACTGTGGTCTGTGTCTATGGATATATATAATCTCTACTATAATATAATGAGCGTACAGCTGTTGATCAGAACACCGAACAGTAGATGTATTTATAAATATAGACGTGAGCATTATTATTACTAGCAGGACCCCGTATAACCCTAAAATGGTGTCAAGACTCAAAAGACTAGAATAATGATTACCTAGATTTAATCCGGGTTTTTGATACCACCTAGGGGTCCAAATTTTAGGCTCTAATATAAAATTCTTGGAGGACTTCGACGCGCCGCGCGAACTAGCATTCTTGCTTCGCAACGTCGATTCCTATTCCTTGGCAAATTTTTTATTTTTTCATGCTGATTTAGAGGCCATTAAAGCATTTGACCCAGTCAAAAAGGTTTCAGTTGTATATCTTTTACGGTTTTTGCGGAAAGTCTTAACGGGTGATACTCGTAAAATATCTGTTCCATATATTCGTCGACGAGTCCAACTCGGCGCGCGTCCTGGTAGGTTGTAAACCTACAAGGAAAGTCGCGTTAAAGTTGATGCCGTGGTGTCAGTAAAATGGTACGGACGGATATATCCATATATTATATCGACTCGCGCACGAGTTTTCAACCTTAGACATGACCCTTATGTCATGTTATGTTAATGATCGCACTGCGTCTGAGCATTGAGCATACAGTATTAATTATCCTAGTAAGGCTCCCCCTTATAGCGTATTGATGAAGTTAGCTCGAACTCGAACCCTGATCCATTTATATTTCAATTATAGTCAGGCCTCAACAATACATACAACGGTTTTAATATTATTACATGGTTACTTTAGGATTGAATTAATATTGTTATTAAAATGCTCATTGTAGCTAGAGAACGAGTTGAAAAAGTCACGGGACAGTCGAGTGTAGAGTGATTAATCATCATCCATATTTTGATCTGCCTCCTGTCCGTGTTTTATGGGCTGTCTCAGAGAGATCCCTTGATGTTCCAGAACCATCTCTGGTGTAAAATCTGGACTCTCCTCTGGAAGTTCTTAACTCGAGCTTCAGTTCACATTGTCGCAGTTCAAAGCGTAATTAGAGCGTATCCTGTTTGCTGTTTGTGCCCCCTTTCGAAAGATATCCAAAAATACCATGATTGTAGTGCTAGTATTAGACATCACAATTTTCTTACTCCCTACTGTAGTTATCCCTTTGCAGTTGATGAACAGAATGTCAAGTTCAGCTAGGTCAAATTCTTAGTCAGTTGCACGGACATGTATTACAGAGGTAATCGCACAATAAACTCGAGTATGGCACTGTATCATATGGTGTCCCTTTTCTTACCGTTCCCTTTCATTTTAGTAAGCTGCTCACTATGCTGCTGTAGTCTTATACGACTTATCGTTTGTAAAAATAGCAGATGCAAACGGATTTCAATTTCAAACAGGGTGAAAGTTCAATCAATGATATCTATTATAGCACTATCAACTGTGTGCTTGGTTTTCAACATTATACTTCTCTTGGGAATTCTTCATCAGCGTCAGAAATCCAAAAACAAATTGATGCTCTTATCAGATTTCGATGACAACATGTCCATTTGGATGTTGTTGTATGGATACAGCTTAGCTCGCCAGGTAACTGTTTTTCTCAACTCCTTGTGTAACCCTCTTATTTACATTTGGCGGATGGGGGATTTGAGAAACTGCTTGCAGAGGGACTTCATGAGAGTAGTTCAAGTGTTCAATTATCGCCCCGAAACGACTGCTAGGGACTTTGTGGAGCTTGCAGGAATCAGACTTCGGAGAGATTTGTTTAGTACGTCAATTGAAGTTGGTTCACCAGACATGGTAGTACAATATCCACGATTTTGTCCTTCCGATGCTACAGAATCAGTTGTTAATGTTGAGATGAATAAAGAGGTCAACTCTCGACCTAGACTTCATTGCGATCCAGTAATTATAATTCATAATGCTGACGTATGGAGGGCGGGTAAGGTAGAAGATGTGATCGGTAACATCAGTACTGACGATGGTTGCTTGTGCGAATATTGCTTTTTACATCGTCACAGCGTTACAGTTGAGATGAATCGAACTGTACCTGACAATTTTACTATTTGTGTTAACAGGTGTGTTGAAGGAAAGAGTATCAATGTGTAAATCTATATTTTATATCCAAACTACATTTTTTTAGAGATTTTCCAGAAAGTGATCTTTCAATGTGTCCAATTTTGGCTCACAAATGCAGTTATTTGAAACCGTTTCGGGGCTTTTAATTGCAATAAGAGAATAAGGTTTTCTTGTCAGGCACTCCAGTGCGGCCAACAGTTCAACAAATGGACCAATACCTGATCAGTGATCCGTGTTGTCGTCCAAGATCAAATAAAACCATCCATTCTCAAACTCCATTCAGAATACCAAACCCATGACTCTTCTTTTTACTACCTGATCAAGTTATTCAAATATATATGATATATATTTGAATAACTTGATCTATGTAAGTTTTTTCGTTAACAAAACTAAAAGCTTTTGTGATTCAAAGAGGAACATTGCAATGATTTTAAAATTGTTAGGTTCACAGAGACCTTTTGATGAGGTATCTATACTATATTTTGAACTTGACGAAATCCCCCCGGCAACGGGGACACAAAAAAAAACACTGAAAATTGACAAAAAACCGACCTGGCGTGACCGATTTCAGCTTGCAAATGGAGTTGAAACCTCGCGATTTTTAGCAGGGTTGTAGAAAAAAGGATAGGAATAGGAGATATAATTCTTAAAATTTTTATTAAGACTTTAGATTTTCTATAATTAACGTCGGAAGTGAGGTAAAATAAACGTTAGAATAGTGGCGTAATTTCATCAAAGGTTACCTGCGTCGTTGCTTAGCAACATCAAGAGATTGCACGTGCGCGAGCAAAAACAGATTAGCAACGTGCGTTGCCATGCTTTATAATGATACGTCATAACTAGCTCACATTTACTGATTTACGCTCACATTGTGAGTCTCAATATGAAATGTGAACTTATTGCAAATGAAATTTTAAGGCGTTAGTGCTGAGTTTACCTCTGGTGAACTTGCCGATCAATATATCAAGCTGTTCATGTTTGCTGTAATTCACGACGTTTAAGAATAAGGTAAGTAATTAGTAACTTGTTAAACTGGTTTTTAACAACCTGGTAGATAGCGCGACTTAATGAACCTTAGAAATAAAACACCGGTAGCATTATAAATCTTAACTTTCGAGGTACCGCCCACCTACACAGAATAGTTGGCACTCTGACAATTGTAAATATCCAGACAAGTGCTTGAAGATCGCGAACCTACCATGGACCCACATACCGCTACCAAGCTTCTACAATACCATTGAGGCACTGAGATCGGACCACTGACCGGTTGATCGTTCTTTGGATTCAATTCATTGATCAACAAAAATTTATAATTACGCAGAACAGTAAATTACTAATTATATTACCCAAAATTCCAGGTTTGAGCTCAGGACAA